CTCTCTCTTTTTCTTTGTGACATGTATCAGAACCATGATGGTGCTGGTGGTGGTGGTGGTGGTGGTGTTGGCCAAACAATAATTTCATTTTTCTCTCTCTCTTTCGATCATTCAATCATTTATTCGATGGATCAATGTATTGAACCACAATAACAGCAAGTAGTAGGAACACAAAACAAAACAAAACGAAAAAAAAATACTGGTCCTAATAATTATAAGTCTGCCACAGTTTTTTCCTAGTTACAATCACACACATGGTCATTAGATGAAACAAGATTTACTTTCCCATATATTCATCTCAAATAATTGTATTTTTTCTCGTTTGAATTTACCATTTCATTGTATATGTATGTGTGATTCTGGAAGCCAGAATCATTACAAGATAATGATGATGACCGAAAGAAAGAAAGAAAGAAAGAATCTTATTCGATAGTCAAGTATTTCTAGTGACAAAAACGGATTTTTTTTCCTATTATTTTCTATCACATACACACACACACAATCAGAATCAAAACCAAAAAAAAAAAAAAAAACCTACACTATTATTATCCTAGAGTAAACGAATTCATTTGATTCTAAATGCACAATAGAATTCTTTCGGTTTTTCTTTTTCTTCATTTCATTTCCAACTGTTTTTTTTTTGCTGAATATTTAATTTTTTTTGTTTTGACACATGTTCACAGAGACACACACACACACATAGAGCCAGAAGCATCTTCTTTTAAGATTCTTTAAATGAGATGTGTGTGTGTGTGTGTGTGAGTGAGTGTTCCTGAAACCCCATACCACCATTATGCCCATTTTTTGTGGTTTACAGAAACTTTTCTTCGTCGTCGTGATGATTATTATTGTTGTTTGTTAAATAAATATGTTCATGGATGCTACTACTTTTTTCATTCTCGTGTGATGAAACAGGTTTTTTTGTATCCAATTTGAATATTTCCACCAAATGATGATGATGATGAAAAAAACAAACTGTCACATACAGAACCTGTAATGATGATGATGATACACACTGCAGGAATATTCTGTGTATCATTATTTTTGCTGTACAGAAAAAAAATATTCAATGTGAATAAATTAAAGAAAATATATAAATTGTTTGAATGAGAAAAGATGCTAGCGGTGAAAATTTTTCCATTTTCTTAATATTTTGTACATGTGTGTGTGTCAGTGTGTGTTTGGTTGTTTTTATTTTTTGCATTTCAATTTACATAAATTGATTTTATAATTAGTACCAAGTAATTTCAATACCAAAGTTTTTTACGTTAATAATTGAATGATGATGACATCTGAGCATAGTCGGTGATCAATAACACCAGCTTCTTTACGTTGGGTTTGGCCTTCGTGCGCAATCAGCTGTAAGATGATTACCATCTCGAAACATACATGTGGTTTCGATGTTGCAGCCATAACATTACTTGCCATTCTACCGCTCGGCGTTCGATACTCGTCGTGTTTGATTCGTGGACAATATATCTTCTGGATCGATTTGTGATCAATCGGCCGTTCTCTCGATTCCAGCCATGTTTGAGATAGTTTCTCATTTGACCGGCATCACTTCTTCATCATCGCCAATATTCGTAAAATGGATTCGGTCGATTTTCGCCGTTGGACATCAAGCCTATGAATTCTTCGTGAATCCTGTAGTTTTTGAGCGTGTTTCAGATCAATATCACTGTTTCGGTCATGCTTCCATTCTCGTTTGGTGGGCGTAATGGAAGCTTCGTCAGTCGGATACATTAACTTAAAGCTGGAATGATTCGGCTTCAAACCGCACCGTAATGCTTGTCCAACGTAACTAATACACTTCATTCATATCCGGATTAAATTGATCTACACGGTCCAGTATGTATCGATGCTTGTCGGGCAGTAGATCCCGTATTTCCATCATTTTATTCAAAGTTTCCTCGAATCTGCTGGATTATCAATCAGGTAATGTTTGATCATTTGCCGAAAACTGGATATCAATTGGATCACCGTCATAATGTTTTAGACGTTTAGCTTCGATTTTTGGACCACCAGAACGTGAATGGCTACATTACTGTAATCCCACCAATATTGTTGATATGATTATAATAAGTCGTACCTGTTTGAGTCATCGTGTCGTTTGCTTGTCGACCGTTGTTCATATCGTGATGACTCGTGGATTGTTCCTCGTTTCGCGTATCATTGATTTGTTCATCTACGTGGTATCGAATCATCTGTTGTATCATCTTTGTTGTTACCGCTTAGACGTCGCTCCTTGTTGCTTTGTTGTCGAACTGGATGATGATGTTAACAACACAAAATCGAATCAAATCATGATACAACATGGCTTGGCTTGGTTTGGTTGTTTGTTTATAAACAAATCGATTTTTTTTCTCTCTCTCTCTCTACATGTACCATCGATCTAATATATGAATTGCGTTGAGGTGAAGATAACATTTTTTGTTTTGTTTTGTTTTGTTTTGTTTATTCAAACATATACACACACACACACACACACACACTGACACTGATAAGAGAGTTTTTTTTATGTTTCCAAAAAACGCCATCTCTTTTTCTCTCTCTCTGTGTGTGTGTGTGTGTGTAGTTCCCGGTTCGATTGAAGTAGAATTTTTTTGTTTGTTTGTAGTGCAAGTTGGCGGCAATTGGAAGAATTTTTTTTTCTTTATATAAGCCAAATTGAAGCCATTTTTTTCGAGATTTTGTTTTGTTAGCAGGAATTTTTTTTTGTCATCGTTTGAAAATTTAAAATTCAGATCCCAAAAAAAAAAAAAAAATTTATTCCTTTCTCTCTTTGGTTCTCAAACCGATATTTTGGTCCCCGTTGTTCTCGGTCTATGGTTCTGACAACAAGAAAAAAAACTGAATTTAAATTTTCAAGAGAAAAAATACGAAAATAAATTTTTTTTCGTTGCATTTAATGTCGTCGTTGTCGTCATACAGAATGAATCTTTTCGATTTTTCCGGCCATCAAAAAAACGGAAGAAATCAATTTTTTTGAATTTCGCCTGCATGGCTTGATGATGATGATGATCGTTTATTGATTTTGTAATCATTGAAAATTTCATTTCATTTCATGTTCAAGACTCAGAGAGAGAGAGAGAGAGAGAGAGAAACAGGAGAAACTAAATTGTATCTAAAATGGAAAATTTTGTATCCAAATTCATGCTGGTTCATTATTGAATTCAACATGATGATAATTGGGTTTACCTGGGAGAATTTTTCGTTTTCTTTGTTGTTTTTTTTTATTCAATTTCCCATTGCATCCCCGTATTCGGCAACAATAAACCACCATCAGCATTATCATTGTTTAATTGCAAAAAAAACGAGAATTATTCTTGAAATTATGGTGGCGAATGAATGAAAATACCCTGTGCTGATGATGATTCTATATTTCGGTCCAATTATTCTGGAAATTCTCCGTTTTCCATCTTTCCCATGTATGTCTTTCTTTGCATTCTTTTCGTTGATTGTACCACCATCATGATCATTATTTGGGCACGAATCTGATTCATTTTTGTTGTTGTTGCTGGAATGAAATTGAATCATCATCATTTTTTTTCTATCCGATTCTCTTTTTGTTGTTGTTGTTGCTTCGATTAAATTGAATAATATCCGTCATTGGTTGACCATAATAATAATAATCATCATCATCATCATCATAACTGAATTCTCTTTTTCTTTTGCTCTTTGTGTGTATGTTTGCGGTTTTTGTTTCCAATGAATTGTCGGTCTCTTTATTATCACTATCATCATTTCAAGAGAGGAATCCAGGTCAATCGGTCGAATGATCTGGTTGAAAAGAGATTTTAATTTTTGTTGTTGTTGTTGTTGTTGTTGTTATCTTGCTGCTTCCACTTTTCTATTCACACAATGATCGAGAATTATTTTTGAGTCAATGATGATGATGATGATGATTCTTTGTCATCATCAGTCAGTGTGTGTGTGTGTCTATTTGTTATTCAATTCAATTCAATACAATACACTAGAATGTGGACTGTTTTATCCACATGATGACTGATTTTTTAAACTTTTTTCTTTTTTCTGGTTTGTCCGTTCATTTTTTATTTTATTATTTGATGTTTGTTTGTTTGTTTGGTTTGATGTGTACCATCGTATAATATTTGGCATTAGAAGATATAAATGATCGAGTGGCCGCTTGAGACAAACGAAGAAACCAACCGACTATTATTATTATTATTTTTATGAAATGAAATAAAGATTCCAAAATTGAATGGTTCCCGATGCCACATATAGAGTGAGAGAGAGAGAGAACCATGGTGGTGGTGGTGGTGGCTGTATAACAAGAACCAAAAAAAAAAAAAACAAACAAAAAAAGGATGCTTGGAAAAATAAAGTTCCAGTAAGTAAGTAGTGAGAGTGAGAAAAAAAATGTGGGTGAATGTTTTCCCAAATGTACATTTGAAACCGAGAAGAAGAATTCCATTCTTAATGGATCTCCTTTGGTTTTCGTTTAGGATGCCATTGAGTGAAACGAACAAACAGAAATGAAAATAAGAAAAAAAAGGACTAATAGCTGTGTATTGTTTTTTTTTTTTTTCGATAATAATGATTCTTGTTCAAACGAAACGAAAAGTTCGTTTACGAATGACATCAAAGTTCATCATTTGCATCGAGATCATAATTATCATCAATTTATTCACAAAAGAAAATATGAATCATATGTGTGTGTAATGTATAGGTTAAATGAATATTATGCATGTAGGTATAATCAAGAGGATGAAATTCATTTAACATAGCACCCATTAAAAACACACACAAACGCACACGCATTTTAATTTTTTGTTCAAGAATTATAAGAAAAATGAGACACACCGAAAAATGGAAACCAAAAAACATACATACACTTTGTATATAATAAAGATGTGTTGAAATTGCTTTTGCTGTTTGCACCAAACAAAATAAAACATACACATCAGCAGCAGCAGCAGCAACAACAATAATGATGATGATGATTGTAATGTGTACACGGTTTTTGGAACCTAACCTATATGGCGCCCATGTGTATGTTTTTTCTTGTTATTGTTGATTGTTTATTTCAAAACTTTGAAGAGTGATATTTGAATTTCTTGTTCATTCATTAATCTAACAATGATGATTTATTCTATATTTTTTGCACAGATTCTGGACAATCATTATCAACCACAACGAATAACAATAATCAACAAACTAATAGTGATTCTTCATCATCATCATCATCCACTACTGATTCATCTGATCGTTGGCATACAGTATCAGCATATGTTGGTTCTGAATTATCCATACCATGTGCTATCGATGTCAGTGGTTGTGGACGTATATATTTTATTACATGGACCAAAAATGTTTCCACATCATCATCATCATCATCTGCATCCGATTCTGTAACAATAATGTCGTCCAATACAGCAAGTGATCATCATGATGATTCTCAAGAAATTTCTTCCGATTTTTCCTTTTCAAAAACTTTCTCATCATCATCATCATCAGCAACAACATCTTCACCTTCACCATCACCGTCATCATCACAAATATCGAAATCCGGTGAATGGCAACGTGTTTTCATTCATTCAGATACATTTGAACGTGTTTTAGGTGATCTAGAACAATTTGGTCCAAAAAATCGTGTACGTTTTGGACCAAAAAATTTATCACAAACAAATTTTGCTCATCTAACATTGCATCATGTTGTACCTGAAGATGATGGTATCTATAAATGTGATGTTACATATGTTACACCACATGCACATGGAAAGTGTCCTTCATTGACCTATATACGTGTACAAACACTTGGTAAGTAGTGTAATAGTCGATTTTGTTTTATATTTACGTTTGAAAATGATCAAATCATTGATTTCATGTGAAAACGACCGACAACTACTTAGTGGGTGTATAATAAATCTTAGTTATGAGATTTTTTCAATAAATAAATCAGGATAAATGTTCTTTTTCGAAGAAATAGAGAGAGAGAGAGAGAGAATAATCCTTTTCCTTTTTCTCATTTATCGTTGTGTACTGGGTTTTTCAATCAGTAGAAAAAATACAACCAACCAAAGAATCGATCAAAAAAAAAAAAAACAGAAATTCTGTGTGTCCACAGAATACACACACATAATAACAAAAAGAGAGAATACCAGAACCATAATAACAACAATAACAACAACAGTAAGAAGAAGTGCCACTTTTTTTCTCTGTGTGTGTGTGTGTGTGTGTGAGTATAAAGAATAATCGATAGGATTGCCATTTTTCGTTCACTCAATTTCTTTTTTTTTCGATTCGATTTCGAAAAAATATTAGACTAGATTCTAGTTTTTTTTTATTTCCAAAATACACACACACACACAAATCCACTTGCGATTCTTTCGTTTGTTTGTGCGTTTTTTTTTCATTTCATTTCATTTTTCCTTCGTTCCGACGACGACGACGATAATAATAGTAGTAATAATAATGATAATGTCCATGTTTTTCGAAAAAAACGAAAAATGAGATAAACATTTCATTTTAAAAATGAGCCAATTTTAGTGGAAATAGTTTTTCTGTATAAAATGGTGGTGGCGCCATTTTTGCATTTGTACATTGATTATGTGTGTGTGTGTTTTTTTGATTGAAATGAATGAGAAAAAAATCAATTTCATCAATCTAATACGCCCATCATTTTCATATACCATCATCTGTGAATGTGAATTCATAATGATTATTCTTTCGTCAATTTTTGTTTGACCAAAAATAATTCTCAATGTTCTTTTTTTTGGCGTCATTATTGTTTTTGTTGTTGTTTTTTTGCATTGTGAAATACAGACGCCCATGTTTTTTTTTCTTGGAATATGAAATCGATTGGCGAAATATAGTACTACTCACGATATGGGTGTGTATTTTTTTCTTGTTTCTTGATGATCGACATTGTGTGGCGGAAACATCTGAAAAAAAGCTAAAATTCAGAAAGAAAAAAAAAGCCCATAATACTAGAGAGAGAGAGAGAGAGAGAGAGAAAGATTTTAGACGAGCTAAAGCTAAAGAATGAATAAGGATGAATGGCTGGTTGGTTGGTTGGTTGGTTGAAAGCAAGAAAGAAAATAAAAGATTCTTAACCATCATCAATCACTTTTTTTCCGCAGTTTTTTTTCGCATCTGGATGTGTATAGTCTGGATGTATATAGTTCACTTGTATTTTTTTTTTATTCCTGCACAAGTATTTATTTATCCTTCACAACCAATAACAGCGACAACAACAACAACAACAACAATATATACATTGCAAGCTTATCGAATCTTCGAATAAATAAATCGAATTGGATATGAGAGGATGAATGAATGAGAATGAAAATTCATCAAGTACAATGGTGAAACAAGAAAAAAAATCGAATCACCATTACCACCAACAAGAATAATTCGGAATGGCGTGGTGAAACAAGAAAAAAAATTTTTTTTTTTGGCCCATTTTTTCAATGGATCGATTTTTTTTCTATAGACATGAAAATTTTTTTTTATTGGATTTGCTGATTGCGGCTAAATCTTAGAAACAAAGATTTTCTTGCAGAATGGTCATCATCGTTAACGGAAAAAAAATTGACATTTTTTTCCATTGTGGATAATCCATATATGATGTATGGTTGTTCTTTGTTTTCAAAGTTGAAATAATCGTCATCATCATGCATGGTCATTGCTGTTGCTGTCATAATAATAATCGCTAATAGTAATAAGATTGTCTGTTTTTTTTTCATTTTTGTTTGCTTGTTGCCAATGAGAAAAGAAACCAGCTTACGTTTGCTTTATATATATATTGATGTTCATTTTTTTTTGTTCTTCTTTCACTATCCATTCAGTGTTACAAATTTGTTCCAGAATGAAAAAAAACAAACGAATGGAACATCAATATAACCATGTGGGATTAGTGATGATGATGATGATGATGATGATAGTGCGATTTATTTATTTACTTGCTTGCTAGCTGTTGTAAAATGTTTTTGTTTGATAATAATAAACAATAAATGATAATTTCTAGTTTCTTCAAGTGTGTCTGTGTGTGTGTGTTGGATATCGATTCTGATTCTTAAGAATATTGAGAACCATTTTTCTTTATCTTTTTGTGTTTTTGTGTTGTTGTTATTATTATTGACCAATCGATATTTGATTACAATGATCATGATCATCATCAATTTCAATCATCCAATACTTTTGCTTGGTGGTTGTTGTCTTTTTGTTTTTGTTGTTGTTGTTTGAATCGGTAATGATTCTAGATGATGATGATGATCAATGCTTTAGAATCATTGATCATCTAAAGTTGGAAATCTGTGTGTGTGTGTGTTTGTTGAGTTTCAGTAAACCAGAAAAATAAAAATAAAAACAAAAGCGAAAGCGAAAAAAAATTTCTAACCAGCAATTTTTTTTCTTGGAACAAACAAAACAAAAAAAAAAAAAGAAATCAAAATACATCTTGTGTTGTTCATTGTTCAATCAAGTGAACATTATCGACAGATATTTTCTTCTTCACCATCGTCAATGTGATCAATGTTTTTGTGTGTGTGTGTGTGTTATAATCATGTAATGGAGAAACAATGCGCCATGTCATGATTCGTAGAAAACAAGAAAAACATACATTCGTTGAATGAAATTTTTGTTTTTTTTTTTTTGGATCGATTGGAATTATATATCTAACTGGAATTTATATATATTCGTTTTATTGTTGTTGTTGTTGTTGTTGAAAAAAATGATGATAACCATTTGATTGTTGGTTATAAAACAAAACCAACCATTGATGGTTTGTGATGCATTTCAGAATTTGCAATTCTCAGATTTTGTGTTGTTGTTTTTTTTTTTTTTCGTTATCCATTAAAATGAATGATATCCATATACATCTTATTTATCTTTGATTTGTTTTTTTCATCATTTTCTTGCAATTCCAATTCTTCATTGTGGAATGGAATGTCTTTTTTCTCTTGTTTGGCATTCGGACATTAACAATTTCTTGGCATTTTTTTTTTTTTCTGGTTTTCTTCTCTCCCATTTCTTAATGCCTCTCTAATGGATATGATTGTTTGATTGATTTTTCAGCTGTAGCAGCAGCAATCAAATTCTGTAAATCGAATGTTGAATGATAGGATTTTTTTTTCATTGGTTTCAAATGAATTCTGTAAATCAAGATTGATTGAAATTTATTCATTTATTTTATCTATATTGAAAAAAAATCGCACACACACACACACCCACAAATATTGACCAATTTTATAATGCAAAAAAATGAAAACGAAAAGAAAGAATCTTCTGGTCATGTTTGTTTGCCTATATGACCATAATAAACCTATTAGATCTGATGATTTATTACAGAATTTTTTTTTGTCGAATTTTTTTATTTTTTTTTTTTTCATTCATCCAATATATCCGGACGACGACAACAATTTTTTTTATTCGACCCTTTTTTTTGTTGTTGACTTGTGGCGAATGGCCATTTGATCGTTTGTTTTATTCATAAACATTTTATTTATTTTTTTCATGAAAAAAAATAAAAAAAATTCCGTGGATTCTTTATTCATGTTGAATTTTTTTTTCTCTGCTTATAAGCATGGCTTTTGCTTGCTTATTGCAGATGATGATGATGATGATGATCATTAATCATTCAATCTTTCGATGCCTGCGTGTGGCGCTCTTTTTTTTCAACGACAAAAAAAAGCTTTGGACCGGCAATTTTTTTTCTGGTCGCAGCAATTTTCATATATAAAAAAAAAACCAGTCAACTACACAAAATGACAACTTTCCTCTTCTCCATTCCATTTATCGTAGAGAATAAACGAAACAATGAATGAATGAATAAATGAATAAAAAAAAACTTTAAGTAATTTATAGAAAAAAAAAGTTTAAGCCATTGTGTCACCTTCTTCATATACATATGGTTGGTTAAAAAAAAAGAAATAAAGACAAACGAAGATGTCAAAAACTTTTCATTTTTGTATTTTTAAAATACAAGTTTTCTCCTTCTACTACTGCTGCTGGTGGTTGCTTTTGTTTCCTGGCCATTTGTCTATGTGATGATTATGATTATGATGATGAAGAATATAGTGATGCCATTTATAAAAAGAATAAGTTAATTCGTTGAATATCTGGTAAAGAGGAGAAAAATTTTCAATATACATATTAACACCACACTTGCCACACACACTTTTCATCATCATCATTGTGTTGTCGACAAAAATATTGACGATGACAACGACAACGACGACGACGACGACGACGTTCATTTGCATGTTATTTCCATCTATTTGAATTCACTGTTTTGTTTTCATTTATTCTTCAGGAAAAAAAGGATATAAATTCTGGAACAGCCGAACCAAAAAAGAAAATGAAGCACGTTTTGTTCCTCTTCATGATTCCTTTTTTTCAAAAAGTTTATTAGAAATTATTACCACCATCTTCTTATCATTATGTCGGTTTTTCTTCATTCTTGGTTCCTGTGTTCGAAAATAGTGAACCAGAAATACCAGCAATACCAGCAGCAAGAAGCAGCAGCAGCAGCTGTATTATAAGTAGCTTATGTGTAATTTACGCTGGTACCCTTTTTTTTGTATCATGATATTAGATTTTTGTATGTTCTCCAGGAATAATAAAACATTGTCATTGTTTCTAAATTTGAACGAAATTGTAACGAATAAACAACTTTTTTTTAGATAAACACACAAATCGTTTGATTTTGCTGTTTTTTTGTTGGTTGTATAAAAAACATGGATTCTCTGTATTTGGTACCGTAGTTTTTTCCTACTGGAACATTGTTTTTCTACTCACAAACACACACACACACAGACACAAAACTTGTTAATGTGTCGGATGTTGTTTTGAAAATGTAGTAGTTGATTCTCGATTCTTTTTCTTGATGATGATGATGATGATAGTAATAAAACTTTTTTTTTATTTATTTATTCACTTTTTTTCTGTTCATTTCACGCCTTTTTCTAATATAAATTGTCATTTATTGATGATGATGATGATATCTTTTAGAATTGCCTGATAATAATGATGATTATGATAGTCAAGTAGTTGATGATTATAATAATAATCACAATGAAGACATCATTTTCTCGTTTATTTGATCGTTTTTATTTTTAAAAAATTTTTCAATTTTCATTTGTTTTTTTCAAATAGTGAAACCAAGCTCGCCAATAATTCGTATCAATGGTAAATCATTGGCCGAATATCGTATGTCGATGGATTCGGTCATCACTGTGGATGATGGTGGTTCAGGTGACTATTCAAGTGCCAAATCTTTATCTTCATCTTCCCAATTATCAAATCAAACACTATCCAATATTGATCTGAATCGTTATCGTCAATTTGGACCATTTGAAGAAGGTTCAACTATTGTATTTGAATGTTCAACATTCGGTGGACGTCCAATGCCTGAACTTCGTTGGTTTAATGGATCACGACCATTACGATCGAAAATAACTGTTATGGATCTGGATCCAGATTCCTTGGATCAATCTAATGATCCTGATTTAATCATATTAACCAGTGATCATCATCATCATCATCATCAAATGGATGGATCATCAGCTGTTCGACGTAAAATTATAGCAACAACAAGAATTATTGCTAGCCGTTTTGATTTGGGAGCAAAATTTGAATGTCGTGTTTTATGGAATAATACTCAAGATGATGCAAATAATGGTGATGATGGATTCATTACGACCACCACCACCACCAACAACAATGCCTCATTGCTCAATGATTGGTTATTGTTAGACATCCAAGTTCGTCCATTAGTGATTCGTGTTGATTCACCACGTTCGCCAGTAATAGCTGGTGAAACCGTACTTCTTCGTTGTACAGTGGATGGTGCTCGTCCATCGGCAAATATTACCTGGTATAATCGATCTGAAGTAGTACAAGCTGAACCGTTGCCAACATTCAATCATCTAATATCGACGACGACAAAAAATAAACAATCATCAGAGAATAAAATTACCGGGCCATTAGTTGGTCCAAATCAACCGGTTCGTACGAGAATCACCACTGAATTAATGACTGATGGTACATTCCGCACGACATCAATATTGGCATTCGTCGCCAGTCGTTCGGATCATCAAGCAGATTTTTTTTGTAAAGGTTCCAATGAAATTCTACGGAATCGTAACGAAGTTCCATTATTGCAAGGAGTACAGCTACAAGTTTTATGTAAGTTTTTCTCTTTATTTTTATTTATTTGTAAAAAACATACATACACAGACGCACGCACAACATCTAATGAGATATTGAGCCAATTACATTTAATTATTATGGAATGCAATATACAATTCATTCTATCTAGATCCTAGAGAATATTATTATATTCCATAAATGAATAATAAAACAAAAAACAAATTCTTTTCCTCAGCTTGATGCCATCATTTATGGCCATTATCACTTGCTTGCTTTTTACTGGCTGATGATGACATTCTGGACAAGACAATTTATATGATACGATGATGATGATTATACACGAAATTTTCATTCAGTTTTTCATCCATTGTTTGTTTGTTTGTTTCGATATGTGTGTGTGTGTGTATGGTACAAAATGAATTATGATCTTGGTCCGGTTATAACAATGATGATGATGATATAAATAACGAAGCTCAAATGCCAGCACAAAATATAATCGGGTATCATAATAACAATAATACAAATATATAATACCCGAAAGAATGTTTGTGACGGGCACACAAAAAAAAGAAAAATTTTTTTTTCTAATCGAATAAAAATGACCGGGTTGACCACACTGCAATCTATATTATCCGCGCATATCAAAAGCTGATAAATTTGGTTTTTTTCTTTGTCCAAATGATGGTGACAGGAAAAAAAATTTAAGAAATTTTCAAATCATCCTTTCTTTTGGATGATATAATTCATTATTATTAATATATTGATTGTGATTAATTGGGACAACCAACCAACCAACCAACCAACGCGCGCACATTGATTTCATTCAGCATAATATTCCTATATTGCATAATAATAAAGCCTCATTTCATTCGATGTTTTTTTTTTTGGTTGGATATGAAATGAAAATTCCAGAATAAAAAATTTCTAGTTTCACTTTGTTTGGGCACATATACATCTTTCCATTATATTATTATATCCATATTAATGCTGTTGTTGTAGTTGTCGTTGCCATTGTCGTTGTTGTTAATAATGATCGATAATGTTTTATTGAACAAGAAAATATTGGTCGAAATTCTAGTTAGAAATTTCAGTCAATGTATCTGCAAACGAAACAGAATATAGAATCTTTTCTGATTATAAACGAACGCAAGAATTTTTAGTATGTATGTGATTTATGATTTCTCTCTCTCTCTTTCTATCTGTTATAGCAGTGTGTTAACGGGAAAATCTTGTCCAAATTTTATTATTATCGTCGTTGTTGTCGTTATTATTATTGTTATTATTATGGCAATGACAATGACAACGACGATGATGATGATGATTATTATTATTATGATTACAGCCACATTATCCACGAAAAATCCATTCTCTCTGTCTCTCTCTCGTTTTAATGAATAATTTCGTTACTACTTCTATTGCTGCTGCTGCTGCTGCTGTGTGTAGTGTTTGTATTTGCTTTACTGATGGAATAAATTTTTTTTTTCGTCTTCTCTAATTCTTATTATTTCACAGTATTTTATTTGAAATTTTTGAAGAGGTGGTGGTGGTGTTGGTGAATGATTGGCCATTATAATGTCATTATTATTAAATTGAAAATCCCAAATGTGTGTTTATGTGTGTGTGTGTGTGTGTTATCTTTTTATTTCTGATAATCCATATATTGATTGATTTTTTCTTCAAAAAAAAAAAAAAGAAATCATCTAAAATTTGACCACATTAATTGATCAATTACATGATATTCCAAAATCAAAATATTCCATCATTATAATGGTCCATCTGGGCTAAAGTTCATTGGCTTCTCTCATCATTATCATCATCATCTGTATAACCCTTTTTTGGGGTGTGTGTGTGTGTGTGTGTGTGTGTGCGTGTATGTCCATGAATGATCATAATGATTATCCATTTTCAAGTTCTTTGTCATTGACTTTTTTTTCTCGAATGAATGGTTGAATGGATGGATGAATAGATGTCATCACTTTGTCACATTATTTTTGTTTGTTCCAGCTGTAGTTTGCAAATCATCATCATCCTCATCATTGTTATATTATGATGAAAAAAAAGAGTAGGCAGCTCCATACCGAATGTAATACTATAATGATGCATGTGAATATAGAAAAAAAGTATTTTTGAAATTGAAATTGATGATTGTTCATTTCTCTTCTCCATGGCGTATGTGTGTGTGTGTGTGTGTGTTACGCCCATTTGATTTGTATTTCATATGCGCATTTTTTTCTGTTTTTATTGTTCACTTGAAACAATTTGACAATATTGAAAGTTTTTATTTTCTAAATTGACTTTTTTTTTGCTTTGTTTCCTCACTGGATGATGTGTGTTCATATAATATAATCACATAACGTCGTTTGAATCATAAAGATCATCTAGGGTTTTTTCATTGATTTTTTTTTCGTTACTACTACTGCTGCTGATGATGATGATGATGATGATTATGATAGCAGCAGTAGTGTTGCTGTCATCACCAAAATATTACTATACAATGGTGAAAAAAATACCCCAGCATCGATGATGACGATTATTATTCAAATGATGATTGTTTGTGAATGGAATGAATGAATGAATGAATCGCATAACGTCAGCTATATTTTACTTTATATTTCATTATACTCGTATATCATCAACAAATTCAATTAGTCAATGATTAAACATTTTCTATTGAATCGATATATATATATTATTTAATATCAAGTACAAACACGATCATATAGATTGTATGTATAAATCTTTTTCATCAAAAAAAAAAGATTTTTTACCAAAATTGATTCTTGCTTGCCAATCATTTTCATTCATTTGTGATAGATGAATGAAAAGAATTGCTATCTATAGATATGTTTGATTTAATGTTCCATTCGAAACACACACACACACACGCAAAAAAAATTAGTCATAGTTAAATGGATTTCTTTGCATCCATTCGATTCATTCATTCGATTCAATTCAAGTTTTCATGGATTCGTTCCATGAATGAAAAGGGGCGTCTCGAATCGTGAAAAAAAATGCTGATGGCCACTTGCTTTTTTTTCTATCTGTGTTTTCATGTGTGTGTGTGTGTGTGTGTGTGTAAGAGAATGGCGAATCGAAAATAAAATCGATTTCTACATAAGGCAGGATTTTTTTTTTTTTTTGGTTTTTTTTTGTCTGTCTATCTGATGTTTCATTGATGATGATAAAAACAGGGAAACAATAATGATAATAAAAACAAGGCTCAGATGTATGAATCTTCACTTGAAAATCGCGTATAACAAAAACAATTTTCGTCTCGTTCACTTTTTTAGTTTTGTTGTTGATGATAAAAGTTGAAAGTTGAAAGTTTGCAACCGATCGACCGACCGACTAACCAACCGACCGTTTTTTTTTATTTTGTTAAACTAAACGAATGAACGAACAAACTAGAGCCAATTAGATTTGCGCTCAACCAAAATGATATACGACGACGACGACGACGATGATGATGACGATTTTAGCATCGTTTATAAGTTTTCCACTACACTTATATGTTTATTCGTTCCACCAATGAAAGAAAGAAAGAAAGAAAAACTTTTCGGTGGTGGTTGAAACCCTATTTACTTACTTTTAAATGTTGTGCACAAAACACAATGAACAACGAAAAAAAAAATGACAAATCCATTTATCCCCAAAACACACACACACACACAAACACATTTTGGGCCGTTCAGTCGTCAGTCGGTTTTTTTGGTATTTTCATCCATTGCTGCAACAAGATCCATTAATATCACCCTAAGTGATCACTTTTTTTTCGTTCTTTCACTATTGTATTTTGTCACACCACTATTCGTGGATAGCATCATCATTTAAAATATGATATCAAATCAAATTAGTATGAGATGGTGAATCAGAAGGTTTTTCTTTCTTTCTTTCTTCTTTTTTTTCGGTTGGAATTGTCCATTGTATGTATTCATATAGAACTGGAATTCATATAGAACTGGAATTCAATTGGACTTTTTTTTGCTCGTTTGGTTGGTTGGTTGGTTGGTTTGGTCGGTGATAGTGTGTGTATTGAAATTGAAATGAAAATTTCAATTTGAAATGGATATATGAAAAAAAATCTTTGACTTGAATGATTAAATTGAATACATCATCAGATCAGATGATGATGATGATGATCGGTTTTTGATGCATAAAAAAAATGTTTTTCTATGCACACACTTTGTGTATTACAATTCACATTGATAATTGTTTTGAATTCATGTTGATAATAATTACAATTTGTCAATTATCGTTTCACAATGTTTGTAAATGTCTATAGTTTGGTAATAATTTTTTCCCTGTTTAGAATATTCTTGTCATCAACAAATAGATAGATTTAGCCTTTCCATATATTCATTATATTCGACCCCAAGAGAAACACAGACAATCAATGAATGAATGTGTGTGTTTGTGTGTGTGTGTGTGTTGATAAGAATTTTTGATGATGATTTTTTTCCACCAACAACAGCCACAATAATGGAATCAAACTCTGAAAATGAATGATGAATTTCTTTTTCTGGGAGCTCCATTTTGTGTGTGTTTGCGAGCATTGTTCTTTTGTAATTTTCATCCATTTTGCAGCACACACACACACACACACATACAAAAAACGTTTCTTTCAGAGCTTCACATTGGCTTTATTCTTTATTGCCAAATTTATTATGTTCCACTGTTTTCCATTCATTCATTCATTCATATTTATGAGATTTTTTTTTCACGAATAGATTCATTGTTGCTGATTCATTACTAGCTATTTATGTAACACAGAAAAAAACGATGTTGATGAATGAAATTCCGTTATTGTTTTTGTTGTTGTTGTTGTTGAAAATGAATGAAATTTCATAACCCTTTCGTTTTGATGATGAGAATAATGTTTTCTTTTTATGTGAATTTTTTCTCATTTTTACATGTTAAACTGTGTGACCTTTAGAAATGAAAATGATTCATTATATACGAGTTGTGATTATGACATTTTTGACACGTGATCTTTGACACATACAAATAAAATGGCACAATGATTCTTGTGTAATTCG